TAGCTCTTCTCATTTCCCAAATCTGTTTCTACTTGACTCATAATTCAAACATGAGATCTTTAGTTAGAATCTCAAGTTTTTAACAACTTAAGTAACCCTTTGGGGCAGTCGTCTTTATTGATGTCAAAGTGACAAAGTGTTCCATTCCTGCGGATTGCAACCATGCATGTCTATGGCATTGTTCATATCGAAGCATTCAAATGGGTCTTTGGCAAATGTTTGATTTTCCTGCAAACAGAAGGCCCTAGAGCTTTGGTTTGGGTAACCAAGATAACTAACCGCACCAAGGTGACCAATTTTGACCAGACTGGGTGGATCATTGGATCTTATTTTCCTACAGAATATGTATCATGCATCACAATACTAATGTGTTGCAAGCAATGATCTTTGCCCATTTATGTATCAGCTACAATTTCAACGTTTGCCTGGAAATCAAAGATGAATCTGCTACAATTTCATTCCACTTGTGTTGAAAATGCAAGAGATAGAAGGCGAAAAAAAAAAAAACACACACACACACACAATCTAAGATGTAAGATATGTAAATAAAGCCATCTGCTACTTACCCTCCCCAAGTTTGTGCTGAGTTGAGCCCTAAAATTTACGCTATAGGTGGGGTTACCTTGCGTGTATGATGCATATCATCTCTCATCTAAGAATGCAAGAAACATTTGCACTCCTTCATATGGCCCAAGTGGTCATGTTGCTCCGTGTGAGAAGTAAGGTGAAGTGCAGTACATAATTATTAAGTCGATTACTTAATCAATACTCAAATAGATATGAATTTACTAATCGTGTTTTTTACGGTTAAAAAAAAATGCAAAAACCATTTATGTAACTCAAAAACCTTTTTTATTCTTCGAAATATTTTTTTATTCTTTTGCATGCTCTAAAGGTAAAAGTTGACCCATACCTGGCTGATTAGAAATTGGTGTGTATTATGGGTTCAATTCCCTTCCCCTACCCTAAAAAATTGCCCTTGTTCCAAAAAAAAAAAAAAAGGGTAAAAGTTGACCCAATTCGTCAACCTGACTCAGCTCATCCACTTAAAATGAATATTGACTCGTGAGTGAACTTTGACCTGTAAACCGATTTGATCTTCGATCCTTAAACTGCATCACAACACACAAAATTGTGAAATTAGTTAGTCATAGATTGCCTGCTCTAAACCATCGTCCTCTATCTAACTTGTTATGGGTAAACCCCAAATTTACCTTCTGAATAGGGGTAGGGATAAACCTACTTTTAAAAAAATAGAAATAAATTATTAATTAAAATATTTTATTAAGATAAATTATTTATTATTTAATATCATCAATTCTTTTGGTTAAAAACAAATTTAAGTGACAAAAAAATTCTTGATATATAATAATATCAAATGCTAAATAATAAATAAAATATTTTCATCAACTATTTGAATGGACTATTTATCTTCAAGGACGGATCTGTTCTTCCCTCTATTTAAGGGCGAA